CATACACACACACATACATACATACATACATATATATATATATATATATATCTATATTCTGTTTAAAAAAACTCTAAAAAAAAGTGTACAACTAGTGCAGGAAATATACGAATGTATAAATATATATCTGTAGATATACATTCGGCATAGAATACTTAAAAACAGCAAAAATACTGATAATATATCGAAAAACGAATACAGTGCAAGAATATATTAAATGTATAAATATTCAACGATTTTGATAACATTAACGGCATTCTGTTTTCATGAATTTTATATTTATGCGGTTTTTATAGACCTATTTTAATTAAATTTGAATTTAAACAACCACGGATCGATTTTAAGTCACTGAAAAATAATATTACATTTTATTGAATTAATTAAAATGATTTAGATAAAAAAATAATAAAATGTATAACCACACAAAGATTGTGTGGACATTAACGGCATTAAAATCACTATATGCTGTATTCTATTTTCATGACTTGTATATTTATGCGACTGTTATAATAGCCCTACTGTATTCAAATGAAAGCGCATTTTACGACCCATGGATCTTTTTTAAGTCACTATATAAATAATATTAAAATTTATTAAATTAATTAAAATGATTTTTATTTATTTTAAAGAGTACATAAATTTACATTGTTGAAAGTAGGTTGCACTACTATAAAAAATATACATGTCATTACACAACACATTTTTTGCTCTGTTATGTTGTTACTGTTGTTTACATTTTAACTCGGATATTCCGGTTTAATGCCATTGTATTATGGCCAAATTTACATAAATGTGATGTTGGTAGTTTATGAGTGAGACACTTAACTGGATATACCGACTAAGAGGGGTGTTCTTAAAGGAACAGTGGCAATTAGTCGGTTTGCTGTGTTTTAAAAATAGTCCACAAAATGAATGAAAAGGACTCTCTTCAAATCGAATTTAGAGCACAGTCTGCGGTCTGAATAATGTACCTAGAACTGAACAACAACACAACAATGGATGCCGCAATTAAATCTATTACCGTGTATGCCTACAACTAACAGTAAGGCACTAGTGCACGCTTTACTTACCTCTATGTACATTTTCACAACCGAAATTCAATATTTTAGATTATTTTGGCGACGACGTGTCTACGATATACAGTAGTTTACATACAAGCTTGCTTCCACCGTAATTTGGATGTTAGACAGGTGCACAACAACCGTGTAGGCTATCTGAAATAAAATTTCTGCCAAGGGAAGTAGTGTCCTACCAGGCTACTAACATAGAAATTAATATTTCAGTGCCCACTGCTAATTAGCATCCCCCACATTGGTCTAGCCTTTCACTTTTTAGTATATAAATTCCAGCCCTGAAACCTTGAATTAGAATTACCGGGAGGAGGATAGTTTTACTGTACTTTGTATAAAATTTAACAAGTACATTAACACTCTCATATGCAAGTTAAACCAAAGCAACAAAAATACCCGATATCTTTCATAAAAAAAAAAACACAACATTTAAAAAGCATCGTCTAAATCAGTGTTAACTTTTCTAACATTCAAAGTCATTAATAAGACCTATACTGACATAGTCGAATCATCTTTTTTATTTTGACATAGGGAGAGCATCATTTACGACAGTGGTTATGCTACAGAGATAGAAGTAATTATGAGAAACAAATTCCGCTACCGTCTGCAGTAAGTTTTTTTGAGCGCAATATAGACGATGAGTCTCTTTATAAAGTAGACCAGAAATCAAAAAGAATTGGAAAGGAAAATATCAAATGATATGTCGTTGGGCAATTTGATTATTATCTCAAAAATTTTACAAACCTAAGTTTTAAATGATGATTTGGACATTTTTAAAATTCTAATGTCTACCTTGAGCCTATTCACTAATATTTGTGTAAACAGAGTTGGCGCCAGCATTTGCCCGAAGGGGGCCAGAGGTCAACGACAGGGGTTGCCGATGTTCTCGACGAAAGTGTGGTTAGGCGTCAGTCAAAACATTTCGAAGTGGTCCCGGGGGCCTAGGTGTAAAATATATTTCAAATTCTTTTATCACAAGAAAATCCACCACTTTCACCCACTCTAACATAATATATTCACCATGACCGGCTCATTTCCCCCATTCTGGAATCAAAATTTTTCCTGGGGAGGACCCCCGACCCTCCTTTCTTTTCTTTTTTTTTTTTCGATTCATGTAATAAATATACGTATGCAATTACTCAAATTTTTTGTATGTATGCATACACATAAGGCCTATTTACTTTAATAAGAATGAGTTTATCAATTCATGGGGAACACGTATGCAACTACTCATTTGTCTATGTATGTATACACACATAACAGGCCTATTCACTGCAATGAGAATGAGAAAGTTTACCTGACCCTTTTCAAGAGGTGGAAAACCTTGAATTTTGAAGGATTTTAAAGTCTATTTTGTCATTAAAAGACACCTAGCTCAAAGTCGGGAAAGCTCACTTCCCACCATCTAGGAATCAACATTTTCCCGGAGGCAACCCAGACCCCTTTCCCTTTGGGTTCATCGATTCATGGAATCGTTTTCAATAGGGGAAATCCTGGATTTTTTAAGAACTTAAAAGTCATTAAAAGACACCTCAGAATTCGAGAAAGCTCATTTCCCCCATTCAGGGATCAAAATTTTCACGAAGGAGGACCCAGGACACAACCCTCCCCCCTCCCCACCCCTCCACCATTCTTTTTGGGATTTATCGATTCATATAAGAATACGTGTGCAATTACTCATTTATTTTATATAGGCATACTCACGTAAGGCCTATTTACTGTAGTTAATAGGAATGAGAACAATTTACCTGACCGTTTTAAGAGGGGAAAACCTTGAATTTTTAACAAATTTAAAGTCCTTAAGTCATTAATAGACACCTAGCTCAAAGTCAGGAAAGCTCATTCCCCGCAATCTAAGAATAAAAATTTTCCCCGGGGGAGGACCCCGAATTCCCTTCCTTTTTGGGGTTTTTGGGAAAAATGTTGGCCCCACCCCCTAACTTTGGACCCATTCATATTCCCATTTATCTTACTAGTGGCTCCCCCACTTTGAAAAACGTTCCACCGGCCCTGCTCATTACCACATGTAATTCTACAAATGTTATATACATAATCGTATGTTCCACGTGTGATCGTGGCTGCTATACAGGGAGAAAATTTCGACTTCGGTGAAACAACCATAACAAATGCATTAGTGCCAATGCAGTTTGTAGTTGTTTTTCCTGTTGCACAACATTTTAATTTGCCTAACCGTTCTTTGGTGATATTAAATTTGTAGTAGTAGATATTTTAAATGTCTTACTGAGTTACAGAGAATCTTAAAATTAAACACTTATAAATTGGCATCAATTAAGATCTTAGGATTTTTAACGAATAGTCCTTCACAAAATAAGTATACATATTACTTATGATGTTATTCTATGTCGACACTAAGTCAACATTTTACGTTTATAACATAGGGAAGCACGTGTGTTCAAAGTAAGATAGAAAAATATGGAGACGATGGTAAATGAAAATACAGACATCGAAGGTAGACTTAAGAAACACAAAAATATTTATTTATAAGTTTCACGTATATTTCGGTTGTTCCTACAACCTTCTTCAGGGTGTAAGTGAAGACGTAATCAAATAGCTTTGACAGATCATCTTGTCACATTAACATAATAATAAAGGGTGTATATCTAAAATAACAAATAGTTTATACATGGCAAACTATTTGTTATTTTAGATATACACCCTTTATTATTATCCTGCCACACCCTCCCCAGTTTAAATGCAGGGGCGGGATCAATTTTTTTTTTAACGAGAGGCACCAATTCCATATAGGCCAAGATGTAATATAATTTCTCAAATAAATAATTATCCAATAATGGTATAATGCGTGTGCAGTATATGCTGTTACTAAACGTTTAGTATTTGTATGCCATTTTGTATTTGTTTCTGTTAAATAAAATACTACAGTGGCAAACTCCCCGTCCCCCTTCCCTAAATCCGGCCCTGCTGCTCCATCACTGTTTGTACACCCAAACTTCCAAAACGCCCGACTCAGATACACCCAATTTCAGTAATATTATTGTGAAATTTATTACATCATTCTGTTCAATGACAGTATATTAGCAAACTGTCAACATTCTTATGCACATACTTCTATACCATTTCATCATCAATACATGTTTAATAATTTATTGTGCAAAAGTTTTAAGATATAATTTTTTTTAAATAAAAAATAGAATATTTCCTACCGCATGTTGGACAGCAATCACCTTCATAGGTAAATAATTTGCCCGGAAAAAAACACGCTTCCCTCAATTATTTTAACAGTCAAACTCAATTAAGTGTATATTTAACTACACTTAACATAGGACTATAATAGATACAGGCATGCACGTACGCAAAAAACCTGCGGCAATCAAGCACATGCAGGTAAACATACATAGGGCTACTCTAATAATATTAAAAATAAAAACAATATCAATTATAACAATATCACTAGCAATACAGATCAAGCTAATAACAGCGGCATAACAACAACATTAACAATAAAGAAATAATTCCTGATGATGACATGATTAATGTCGAAATATTGAATCCCAACACGATGGCGTACATTTCAATACTTGGAGTATGTATTATATTTTCTTATCTGAGATTAATCAGTGGACCTTTCGGTATATGAAGAAATAAATTGTTCGAAAAAGTTGAAATACCATTGAAATAACATTATTCGTTATGCATTTAGTTTGTTTAAGGTTGTTTATTGCTTTGAATTTTACCATCACATTTTTAAACTTTTAATTGGAAAATATTATATGAAAACTATTTTGTGTATAAAAAGGATAAACATGATCTGGAGTGATGTTAATGATCTTGTTTGATAAGAAAACTAAATAACTTACATCAGTGCATTCAATCACATCGCATTGGATAGAAGCAACTTCGATTCCGTCATAAGTACATATGATTGTATCACAAGGGTCGTCAGAAGGTACACTATCACCAGGCTGATATTCAAATTAAAAAAAAGAAAATAATTTTCAGATATATCTGATAGACAAATTTAGTGCACAACCTTTGTCGACCCCGTCCTTTAAATAACTAGCTACTCAATGTTTAATAAATATAATACAACAAAGACGGATGATCAAAAATAGAATTTAAATTAAGGCAAACAACATATTATCATTCAAATTAAACCCTTAGAATATAGAAATATTGTCATTAAATATAATGCAATCCATGTGTAATTATTTTTTCTGAATTTCCAAAAAGTTTCAACACATCATTGCTTTAAGACAAATGTGTAAGTAATAAAAATAATCGTGTAGAAAATAAACACAGAAAAATCCGTGTGGGAAATATAAACAAAACCAGAAAAAATACTTACCGCATTATTATCTGACGCCATTGTAAGTACACTCTGAAATTAAAAGTTAAATTATCACAATTTCTATTTTATTTTATATGGATATATAAAAAATTAGAAGTTCAAAAGTATAGAAATCAGTAAAAAAAAAATAACAGAGACATTTAAAAAAAAACAGGCAAAAAAAATCATTCTTATATGTAGCGAATTACTTTCGATGCTAAATATTGTTTAAGTTTCTTAATAAACATGATATAAATCAAAGGGATTCACTTTATTTTTGTGTAATACACAGTATCTAGGGGACATCCCTAGGGACACTATATTTGGTCACGAAGGTGCCCCTTATATGGGTTTTTGTATACTGTTTTATTGAATAGCTGACAGCATGACATGAAAGAGTAATGTGATTTTAAACACACTATATAAAATGAATTTGCCTAATGTATCTAATAACATTTGATTCACACTGCTCTGTAGTCATCACTGATGTAGTTCTTGTTGTTGACATCGTTGTCGTTGGTGTTTCTGTTGTGGTCACTACGGTTGTTTCTGTCGGTGTTGTCGTGGTCATCTTTGTAATCGTTTCTGATGGTGTCATTGTTGATATCGTGGTTACAGTCGTGGTTGGCGATATAGTGGTGACCTCCTCTGTGGTAACATATGGTGTGGTCTTGGTGGTTGTAACAGTTGTGATACGTACTGGAGTGGTTGACATTCTGGTTGTAACCTCAGTGGTAGAAATTGTCGTAGATTCGGTGGAAACTGAAAAATATAAAGATGCATACCATATTTATTATTTATTAGAATAAACTCCCAATATGAATAAACACCACTTTGAATAAACACCCTTCTAGAGCCTCATTTTGAGTAAACGTCTTCTTCCAGGCGTTTATCTTTTCCTCGAATAAATGTCCCACCTACTTTTAAATGATTGTAAACACATCCAATGAAAACAACATATACATTAAAACACTTATATAGCGTTATTTCATGAAAATCATAGCGCTTAAAACGTAGACTAGCCCATACAGTATAAACTTCTCCCTTAAGGGCCTCTTCGTGTCGGAGTATCCCACCACTCTCGACTGTCCCCAACAAATGCTGTATGGACGATTACATCGGCTAAAACCCAACTCGTCTCGAAAAATGTACTGGGTTCTTTATAGTGCACATGAGCCAATTGTGTACACTGGGCCTACAGTAGTCCTTATCCGAGAGACATGTTGCACCTCCAGCGCTGATATTATGACTGTAGGTAACATGCAGCTCCCCTGCCTTAACGGCTCGGCCATTCGACTCGTGAACCTGTTCAACATATTTTATTAATGTACTTCTACATTGTTTTTATAAACTTGGTTGGGATCAATAGGTTTTTATGATCAGGCAGTAACACAATTTGACGGTAATATTATGTGTTGTAGTTCCACATTTACAGTGAAATTAAGGGCGTATATTTGAGGATACGTATCCATTTTACACCAAAAAAATAAATAAATGCCTTTTAGGGACAACACCTCAAAAATCCTTCTCAACAATAAATCCCCCCCCCCCCTCTGGCGTTTATCCGAATAGATACGGTATTAATATTATATAAGGATGGATCACAAAATTCTCATAGGCACTATTGTCTTTATCAATCAGACCAGGGGAAACATACCGGGAAAAGTATTTAAGGGAAAATGTTTGTGAGAAATCTGGAAAAATCTGCTCCCGAACTGGAAATGTGTACTCACCCTCGACTTTACCAAGGAATTTGAATTGCAAAGTTGGAGACTCCTCTTGAACACTTGATCCTGTTACTTCTATACGTACAGAGTCCAAAGGACCAACCAATCCTGCTAGTTTTACACGTGCGACATCATTTCTAAATACAACCTCATATTCCTGAAATTAATTTATAAAATATAAAAAATATAAAATAAAATAAAGTAATGTTTATGCTACTAATCCACTTATTATAAATTCGACACAAACAAAAAACATTCGACACATCCTCGTGCAAAAAAAAATAACTAAGAGTGAATCAGGTTGTAATAGGTTTAAATTTTGGGGTATCACACTCTAAATATCTGTACAAAGAGATATGATGGACTTGACTTAGTAATTAGGTTAATTTAATTGTGATTTTCCGTTTTAAAATATTTTACACGATAGCTCTTAAAACTATACCGTACTATCTATCTATACACTACAGTATTCCCTTCAGTTTTTAAAATCTAAAGCTTAAACTCACTGTAATCTGTGTTTGTTCAAACAACCAATAAACCCACACCTCAGATTTGTTTTGGTATTTTTCATTAAGACAGGATCAATGAAATAAATAAATCCTAATGATGGGCGATAAAATCATTGATAAAATATATTGTTCTTACATTTCTAGTCTCGATAGACATACCATCTCTGAAGACTGTTATCTCGACATTTGTGATAAAGACATCAACATCACTTGATTTGAAAACAACAGCTGACAACTGGACAGGCGAGGGGAAGGTGGTTACAGCCCAGATATCAAGAATTGAATCTGCTTTGAATGGTGACTCGCTTTCCATAGAGGTTAATCCCTCACCTGGGCTTGTTGTACGCTTACCTTCTTCACCAAGTTCAGTCAACTCTTCAGAACAAGGTCCCTCATCAAAAAGACATTATTGTCAGAAATTGTGAGCAAACAATGGGATATTTATATTAATAGTACAACTTAAGCAATACGTGGTGTTGTATAAACATCATTGCTCTTTAGGTGGTGTATTAATAACCGAAAAATCAAATGACATATTTCAATTTTATATATTTCAAAACAATTGTTATATATTTTAAATTGTTTTTGAATTTTATTTTTGCCATCTATGTGATTTCTAACTGTAATTGAATTTTATATATTTGAATAATGCTATCTTCTTTGTTGTAGTTTTTCAGTGTGGAGAGCCACTTTGACTGTTATTTTTTTTAAATAAAATAATAGCAATCCTGCCTTGCTGAATTACTACCTGTGTTTTTGTATTGTTTTTTGTATGTTATAAGGCAAAATAAATGATATGATATTATGATATATATGGTGAATGATTGGTAAATATTAATGAGGACTTTTTAAAATAATTCCTTACCTGTGACTTCCATAGGTGTAGTAATTGCCATAGTTGTAGATTCTGTGGTTGTTCTGGTTGTTGGTAAGACAGTCGTGGCTTTTTCTGTTGTCATTACGTGGGTGGTTGTTGGTGGAACAGTAGTAGACTGTTTAGTTGTTATGGTTTCTGTAGTTGTCACAACTATAAATACAATACATTACACAATTATTATTATTTACCTGTTTTATAAAGTGCACTTACGAGCAATGTGTAAATTTCCTTAACGGTTAGCTTAACGAATTTTAAAAGAAACAAGTTCGTAATTATCATCGTTTTAAATGCTACATGAATACATTTTGAATATGATGAAAAATTAAAATTTATTCTCATGGTCCCTAAATACTATATAGATTGGTATCTTTCAGTATAAAAACTGAAATATATGTCAACTGATGTCAATGACGGTAAAATGCCAAAGTGCCTTCAAAATCAGAACAGCTAGCAATGCATGAACAAAAGTAACTGTATCTGAATATTCTCGCCTTCCAAAATCATGCATTTTTTTCATGCAAATGCCAAGATTTCATCAGTTTCAAACTTTATAAAAGGCCATTTTTAAACAGTGGGAAATACAACAATGGATGTTTCTGCTAGGGCCAACTACAAAAAAATAACATGCCAAAACACCAATAAAAAAAACAAAAGAAAAAAAATAAAACCTTAGAAGATACTGTGGATAACCCCTAAAGGTTTCTGATGGATTTATTGAGTTTCTTTGTTTTTATAGTAAAACAAAGAATAAATAACAGGATGGATGAATGAATGAACGAATAATCGAAAGGATGAAATATATGTTATCTACCCTCAGCTAAACAGACATTGACGTCGAGTCGTAAGCTTAGTCCAGAATCTGACCATTCTTTGACAGAAATTCTAAGAGCCTTCACCATATCAATCTCTACATCAAACTCAACGACTTCAGAACTGTCATTCCGTTGTTCAATTTCGAACTCCTAAGAAAAAACAAGAAATTCTTGATTTTCAGGTATTCTTTTAAAATATAATAAAATTTTATCTTAAGAATTACAATATATCAGTTTTATTTCTGATGTTAATACATGAATGGTAATAGCAATTTAGTTTATAATGTTCATTACAATATTATATATTATATTATGAATCATTTTAACATTTTAACACTGTTAGTAGAATTGTTTTATTCAATGCACATATGTTCAGTCGGTACGTACAAACAGAAAATATAATAAATTTTACGGGATTTAGGAATAACTGTTTATACTCCTTGGTAGTAATACGTATCATAAGATAATAAACTAATTAGAACATTTGGGGTCAGCTCCTGATGTCTCACAGCGACCGCAGTACAGAACATGTGATCTGGGCAGCACATGGCTTAATTATCATTTATAAAAGACAATAGACTATAACATGTAGTTCACGTAAAGAACAGCTTGGTGCAATAGAAACAAACCACTGCAAACATCACCACAGTTTTGTGCACGCACACAGTAGCTACCAACGGTTTAACCACTTGCCCTATATGCTTATTAAAAATAATAAGAAAAACTTACCTTTGGTAGAACATCATTGACCTGGTCTTTGAATGGCAGCCATTGGTCATCATTTGGTTCCTGGTACTCTACAGTAAACACTGCTGTAACCTTAGACCCATCACCTTGGATAGCAATTGCCATTAACTCAATCGGCTTACTAAACACAACGCTACCTCTGGAAGATCATCCTCTGCACTAACCTCTGGTGACCAAGGGTTTCTACTATCGATAATACTTGAATCATCACTATCCAAAACATTTTGCAGGTAGCGCTTGACATCAAGAGGAGACTCCAAAGCGTCAATTCTTAGAGACTTTCTACATGGTCCTACAAAATGGACAGTAACAATATGTAAATATTTCTAACTTTAATACTGTATTTATTATTTTTGAAATAAAATAAATGGAATAAATTTTATAATGGCTACGACAAAAACTATTGTCGGTTTTATGCAATAAAAATATAAAAATATTTATAAATAGGTATTATTTTTGTTATTTAAAAATTCATCATGAAATAAAAATATCTTATTACCTTCAGTTGGTTCTACTGTAGTCGTTAACTTGCTTGTTGTATTCTCAACTATCGTATTTGTAGGTGCTGGTGTTGTAACTGTCGTGAATGTTGATGTCTGTGTTGTTGTTGGTAGAACTGTTGGGGTAACTGGTTCAGTTGTAATCATAGTTGTGAATGTGGTCGTTGTGAATGTAGTTGTTGGCATCTCTGTCGTAGTGGTTGGCATCTCCGTTGTAGTTGTTGGGACCATTGTTGTGGTTGTTGGCAGCTCTGTTGTCATTGTTGGGTCATGGTAGTCGTTGTTGGCCTTTCTGTTGTGACTGTTGAGGTCATGGTGGTCGTTGTTGGCATCGTGATTGTGGCTGTTGGTATCATGGTTGTTGTCCTCACAGTTGTGATCTCAGATGTACTCATTGGAGTTGTTGTAACTTCTAAAAAAATATGTTAAATAATTATCTTAATAAAAGTCCGTGTTAAATTAGTTGAATTACCTTCATAGTGTATTAATAGTGCCATTAAAATATATAAATGTATAAATTCGAACTTCCGACCTTCCGCTGTCAAGGCGAGCGTCATAACCATTACACCACAGAGGCTTCATGGTTGAACAGATTCAAATACGCCAGATACACTCTATTACACAATAGGTACGGCTAGGTCGCAGATTCGAATCCTGTCAGAGGCATTTCATTACACAATTTCTTTATTAATTTATAGAGCTACATTTGTTGAGAGCTATGCTACACGATGTATTATTATGTCCTTCATTCAAACACTGTATTTACCTTTCGTTAACGATTTAATAATTTAACAATATATAATAAATTATTGTTAATTCCAAGTAATAAATTTAGGAACTAACCAGTAGTTTTGACTGTGGTTCTAGTGGTTGGTGGTTCTAGTGGTTGGTGGTTCTAGTGGTTGGTGGTTCTAGTGGTTGGTGGTTCTAGTGGTTGGTGGTTCTAGTGGTTGGTGGTTCTAGTGGTTGGTGGTTCTAGTGGTTGGTGTCATCTCAGTTGTAGTTGTTGGCATTTCCGTTGTGGTTGTCGGCATCTGAGTTGTAGTTGTTGGCATCTCCGTTGTGGTAGTTGGCAATTCTGTTGTAGTTGTTGGCTTGATGGATGTATACTCTGTATATGAAAACGAAAACATATTTAAACATTTTCTGGCAGTTAGGTTAATGATATCTTCATCAGCATCCGTATCATTATTATCTTCACCATTATTATTATTATTATCATTCTCCCCATCAATTGTATTTTAAGATTCAAGTCTTATCAAGAAACACGCCGCAGTTTAATTAAAATGGTGACAATAGTTAAGTTGTTCAAATTGGTGGAAAGCCTGCGTTCTATAATTGCTACACACTTAAATAGAAATCAGTCGCCGATTTTATAGAAATGCTCGATCGGTGATCCCATCGGTAACTGGCTATAGCCACGGCTGGCCTAGAAAATCAAAAACTATAGCCTAGTATTACTTCTCCCAGGCCCTAATCGGCAAGGCCTACCTTGATTATTGTACATATACTAGTTCATTTACGGAACAATCCATCATTTAACAACAACAGCTAGGGCGTATGCATTCATTTTTTCTTTAATAATATAATTGATATTGTTTTTATTTAATAATGCTTAAGTCACTATCTGTGCTAAACTATTCGTTGGTCTCTGCTTCAATTACGTTGCAGTTGGATTACGATAATAGAGCCGTTGCCGCAGCAGGCTTATGTGCAAGTTCAGTAACGCTTTAAACTTATTTCATTTCAGTTTCAGGGTGCAGGCCAATGCATACACTGACTTATTCTTTCATTAAAATACTGTGACACATTGCATAACCCAGTTTAAATAGGAAAATGAAATTAATTATAATCACTACTACCAATAATATTTACAATCAATTTTATTAGTTTTACTAACATTATTACAACCTACCTTGCTCAATACAACCAACAAATTCAAAGTATACCAAGATGTCCTCATCGGGAACATATTCCAAAGTAATCGTGATGGAAGTTACATCAAGAATTCCTTCACCAGAAAACAGTAGTCTGTCTGTCGCACGATTTCCGGTAAGTTCCTTCTCAAACACCTGTAAATTCATCAATTAATATCTCCATTCAATATTTCGACATTAATTATGTCATCATCAGGAATGATGATGATGACATAATTAATGTCGAAATATTGAATCCCAACACGATGGCGTGTATTTCAATACTTGGAGTATGTATTATACTTTCTTAGTAATCAGATTATACTATTTCAAACCATATGAAATTATTTGATTATTTAATAGAAAGCTCACTAATAAAAAAAAAAGAATATTTAGTTATTAACATTGCATAATAAAACAATATTGAAATTACCTAAAAACAGCTAATGTCAGCGTGAAACACTTTTGCTAGGCTATTCTCGCTCAAACGAAAATGTTGCAAGAAGAACCATGTCGTATTTTTTTTAGCTTTTGGAGCCATATGGCTGACAATTTTACGTTATTTCGTCAGGTCGAGGTGATTTCACTTTATTTGACAATAGACTGATATTATTTTCACTCACAATAGAGTAGTCGCAATATTAATAATACAAATTCAATTCAAAAAGGGAAGAAAAGCAAAAAAATCTCTTGATTGATTTAAAAAGTAGTGTACATGCAAAAAGACTAAAGTAATCACCGTTTTAATAAGTTTATCATATTTGGTTTTTCATGGTTCGAATTTTGAATACGTCACAAGCATCAGTAGTTAATAAATCATTATTTTTATGAATGTTAGTTTGCACGAAATATATAAGCGTTATGACTAAAAGGATAATTTTAAAAAACTTTTTATGATGAGTATTTCAGTGGCAGGTGCCATAATCATAAATGTTCTTACCTCAGCCCCAACCATGGTGGGGCTGAGGTGGTCTACACTCTCCATCTGTAAAAGTCCCTCTCTGGGCCCAGCTTTATTTCAAATTACTGGATCCGCCACTGGATATTTTAAAAATTTCGTATGGAAATAAATGTTAATTGCATTGCTTAAACTCAATTGAGGCTATAGGCGCCAGAGCTTCTCGGGGGCTTCGCCCCCTGGTACACAACCTAGGCTTGGGCCTACGGCCCAAGCTTTTATTTTTCATTTCGTCCCACCCCCAACTTTCAACCACGGATCGACGACCTTGGGGAATGATAAACGAAACGAAACGTTCTGCCCTGACGTATGACAATGGAGCGACTCCAGGCCCGTATGCGCTGCAGAATGGGTGTGACCCGTGCGTGCCTGCAATAATCCCACCCACTCCCCACCCCTAATTATCAAAGGTCCACATTTTCTAGGGTAGAGACTCTCGCACGTTCCAGAAATCCAACCACCAAACCTCCATGACCAATCAGAGCAGTTCCCAAGTAGGATCACCTCTTAGTAAGGGCCCGGTTTTTAACTGCATTTTGAGAAATTTTGAGATAGAGAGTGATTAATTGCACGAAAGTTTCCATGCTGGTGCATCTGCGCTTAAACTTTCTTTGTAGCTATGCATTGCGCGATGTGACATAGAATCAACCTTTCTATGGAATTGAGTATCCATTCAATTATTTAAAAAAAAAATGCGAACCGAGGAGCCCCTGTTCCTCGATTCATAAAAAAAACAAACAATCATACAGCACAGTTCAGCACATCACAGACTTCATTTTCTGATCGATGCATCAACTCTTCACATCTCATCCATCACAACACGGTTTATCTGATTTTACATTTTTAACACATATAGGGCCAGTTTATAGTATAGCTACTTTACCGGTTGAGAGTACAGTAAATTAATATTTTGATTGTTGTCATTTATCTTTATCGTCCGTAGTAATTATACTCGACTACACATTGTTACTTAATCTTGGCTTCGTTCATGGGGTACTATGAATAAGCTTCGGTACGGTATTCTTTTGATGACGATTTCAGAAACTCAATCGAAACGTCGAAACATTCTCAACAAAAACAACAACCATCTACGTGGTGTACCATAAACATTTAATATGGTTAATACTATATATAGAGAAAAGCTAGATAGATTTTATATACAGTAGTACGGTAAATGTTCATGAAATTTCTTTTAAGTATTATTGTTAGGCCCTATGTTTCGGCTTTAGCCTTTTGTAGGGGTGTGAATGTAGTACAAACACTTATCAATTATGTGCATGGTTAACTAAGTTTTCCTTTAATGAAAAACAATAATAGGCCTATGTAGAGTTTTAACGAATAAGAATTGAACCAAATTGCATTTGTTTATGTGTGCGGGAAGACGAAAAAATGTGTTTGTATTGTTTTGTAAAGATTGCAATCTTTATTTTATGTATTTTATTTATGTATTTTTTGTTCAATTTCAGAAATTAGAGTTTCTAAGTTTCCGAACGTTTCGTTTCTCTGTAACTGTTGTGTGTCTGTTCTGAAATAAATAAATAAATAAACAAATAAAAATATTCATGAACATGTGTATAAGGCTTTATATAATAATACAAACATGAACAAACTTAGGTCGTTGCGCAACTTTATAAGCGGACGCACGCTTGTTTAATTATATCTAGCCCTATTATAATTATTACCGGTATGCAAAATGTACGGACCCACAGGTAAGTTCGGTAACACAGCAAGGCATCAATTCGGGTATCCAAGCATCAAACCAAGTAAAAACCAATTTGGTGTCGTCAAACCTAATACCCATCTTGTAAACTACCTACCGTACTCGCGTGAATAAGCGCCCCATTTGAATAAGCGCCCCTCGTGAACGTGAACATTTCCTTAAGCGCCCCGTTTAAATAAGTGCCCCCTTCTAATTTGAATAAGCGCCCCTCAATAATATCATAAGATTTTCTTTTTAGCAAGTCAATAATCTCATCAATTCTGGGACTGTGGTTTTGGCATTATTTGAGCTGCAGAGTGGAATCACATTCTTCTTAGGTCAATATCAAAATGAGGATATTTCTCTCGGACAGATGAGAGCTCCGATCCCTACACAGACAGTATATTTCCAACTTTCCTCTCACATAATTGCCAGCTAACCACTACCCACCACCACTAATTGAATCTGCTATTTTGCTGTTATGTAAATATTCACAGCATTCTTGTCATGAGCCATGTTCTCTGAACGATTATCTTTTCCGCCTAACCACCATTCGTCCTTTATAATCTTCTTTCATTCAAAAAGTGCCTCTTGAAGTTCCCATAAGAACACCTCGATTTTCATCTATTTCCATAAGCGCCCCCTCAATTTCCACTCATAAGCGCCCCGTTTAAATAAACGCCCGTTTGAATAAGCCTGGGCGCTTATTTTAGGCCTAATCTAAATCGCATAGTATTTATTTATCTTATCGTTATGTTATTTTATTTCATTCGTACCGATAGTTGGTTAGGTCAGTCTGTAGTTGATAATGGTAGCAGGTGTTGCCTGATGCTGTTATCTTATCAATAGGCCTTCAGTGACAGTAGGCGTATATAACACTAAATAAATGTTTTAATTCATTTTGCCATAATGATACTTTCAGTCATAAAACATGACTACTACTACTACCAGTATAGATTCAACATATGTTACGGCTACCAACAGGGGTGGCGCCAACGGGGGAGGGGGCCAGGGGAGAGCTTCCCTCACCCCCCAATAGTAAATGAAATTCATATGCTATTCAACTTGCATGTAAATTAAAATTACGAATGAATGGTGACTATAGCTTAGAATTCTAAGCTAACGTATATAATATAATAATAATAATATAATGAGATTCAGGAAGTATTGGAATTATTGAAGTAATATAGTAGTTATTAATGAGGCGAGTAACAATAAAAATCGTTATCAAACAAATAACCACCAAACAGGAAGCTATTGAAAATATTACCAAAATTGTTTCCTCAATTCATTAAAATTTCAGTTTAGGAATAGCGGCATTAATAAGTGTTATTTCTATTTGATGTATTCGTTTCAGATTGTAGCTGTTATTGAAAAGAACTGATAAATCGTCACGGGGTTTTTTCGTAAGCTAAACGTTTATGCAAGGATTCAATTGGCCATCACAAGCGACTACGTGAACCGTTCACAGTGACTGTAGCTTCTTTCATCAGCGTTTATTTGCTGTTGTCATTTCAAAAAAAAAAAAGGAAAAAAGAAAAAATACATAAGCGTTGCCGTATACGACGTTGCTGATAATCCCACAAAATACCATCATGGACGTGTGTAAGTAGTTCTTTTTCAGTATTGAGTGCCATGTAGGCATAATAGATACGCAGTAAATTCTAAAAAGTGATAGCAAATCGGCATAGCTACTGAGGCAGCGGTGGCTCCAGAAATTTTCCGACAGGGGGTCCAACATATCAGACGGGGTATACGAACCAAGGCGGCGGCTAGAGCCTCGGTCCCAAAATCAAAATCCCTGCAGGGGGACTGGGCGGATGCAGACGGTGCGATCGCACCCATCCAAATTTTATTGAGAAAAATAATTGTTTTATTAAACTGTTGATATGAATTACCGGTAAGATTTTTAAGGTATGAGAGCGCAATTTTCGGACACCTAAGAGTCGATAGTCTCAAAATTTTCTTGGACTTTCACGCACTCCCTCCAAATCCTGCATCCACCCCAGGAAGGTGTCCGTCGCTGGCTGACGGAGTATGGACTGGTGCTTTAAATATAAAAAAATGTCTCTTACCATGCAAACACATAAATCGCACTTAATTATATCAATCAATGATTAAATTTTGGTGGCTTATATGAAAGAGTTTATGTAGTCTGATCAGACAATGATGCTGTATGAGTCAGTGTATCTATCCTACTTTTCTGCAGACAAAGTTCTCTATAATTTGTGTGTTGCTTTATAAATGCCCAAATACTGACCATCCCCTTCCCACGGCCCCCATCCCCAAAACTACGAAGTCATATAATATTAGTAGTTTTCGATTAATTTTAGTGTCGGATGAAGATATCCGAAAATTAATAATCAGTGCAAATGAAGGAAAGGAGAAATCTCACAGTCCATATAGCAAGTTCAGTGTTGGTGCAGCAATCCTGACAACAGATAACCAGGTTATTAAAGGTTAGAGCATGTTGTGTGACAATTTACTACACGAGGACCCCACTGGAAATAAGTCTTCTTTAGACTTCAAGGGTTATCCTTGTTGTTTACACCAAATAAATCCATCCATCCACACTGATTGTTGTTTCTTAGCTTCAAGTATTTTGGCTCATCCTTGTGTACCATTGAACCGCTTTTTTTATTACTTAAAAAAGTTTATCTGAACCTGCTACCTCTTGATATTAAGATTAGTGTCGTACCGCTAGATCACAGGCAGTAAATAGCGCAGATCTAACTCAGAAATACCATCTCTCATACAGCTGACTGAAGCGATCACACATGATAGCGGGCAATGACAAGCTAGAAACAAGCCTGTAGGTCACAACTGCGAATATAAATATTAAATCAATCTGCATACAACGCTGTTTTGTACTCAGCAGTGCTGCTCAGATAAATTTGAGATTGAACCTTAGCTATGAAATAAACAAGCTTGTAACAAGGCAGTTTAAAAGTGCTCATAATACCATACCAAGAGTGCTCAAACTGCATATAGTAGTGGGCCAGCTAAATGCAAAACAGCAATGCTACTATCTCAATAGAGTGCTCAACAAATATATTAAAACATATATATATATATATATATATATATAATTCTATATACTATACAATATACAACATTTCTCAGTTCCTAGTGAATGAACTCTAGGTGATATATATACAATGAAAAAAGTATAGGGTAAACAAAATATTTAACCAAGAAAATAGGAGCACTACTTGTGAAAGTAGTACTTGTAAAAGTAATCTTGTTACAACCATTAAATATCCATATAGCTTAATAAGAAACCAAAACATTAGAAGGAAGTTGTTAATTTTTTAACATAATATTTGTAGAAATCTTAGAAATAAATGTTATATGTAATAAAGGGTCTTAAAGGCACTTCTCTTCTGGAAGAGCATTCTATCTGAAAAAAAAACATGTTTCAATGACTAAGTCCAGAGATATTATGCAATTCACAAATTGTCATACTCATTTCTTATGAATACTACTCTGTGCATTTCGCTTGGGTCCTAGAGCAAGGCACTTTATGTACAATGCTCCAGTCTACACAGCTGTATAAATGGGTACCAGCAACATCCCACCCAGGGGGAGTATCGCACTCTCATCCACTTCACACTACAGGGCATAAGCTCCAGCCCTATGAGCCCCACGGCTTGGCAAGGATTCATTTTTTTAAGCTATTCTAAGCCACCTGTGTTAGCAAGTACAAAATTTATGTATTTACTTTATATAGCAAAAATAAAAATAGATTTGTCAGGACTGACGGAACTGACCTCACATTATATAGCAAAAATAAACATATTTTTGTCAGGACTGACGGAACTGACCTCACATTATATAGCAAAAATAAACATAAGATTTGTCAGGACTGACGGAACTGACCTCACTGTTGTATTTAATTAAGCTCTGTCTGTAGTATTTGGTTTTACAGTAGAGTACAGTATGTTATTTATGGAAAATTAATTAGCACAGTCACTCTCCATGAGCAACCTCCTCTGCTCCATGGAAACTATTCTTAGTCATGCTGTCATGCAACTAATTCAGCACAAAACAAAATGTTGTATCCACTTACAGTCTAAGTGGTGGGACATATGTCAGGACACAATCAAAACAGCCAGCGCAAGATCACATGAGTATTTAGTAAGCTCGGTATTTGTATACAGTACATTGTAACGTTAATAAAATACAATGTGTACAACTATAATACAGGATAACATTTTTTGTAGTGCGAGAGACAATAGGCCTACAATTAGGAAATGGCACAAAATCTTAAAGGTAAAATGCTGGAAACTTTGCTTTGAGAGGATGCAAAACATCACTTAAGTAGTATATAGCACCTGCCATGCCTGGAAGAAAAAAATTTATAATTATAATCATAATGTGTAATTATACATATTGTTATGGTAACTAAAATAATACTGGTATGAGGGTAGCTGATTACTCCCATAACAATGACAAAGTGCAGTTAAAAGGTAAGTTGGATTGACAATTACGCACAAACAATGAGAATTGATGGTCTGGCATGAAGGAAAATGGGACAACACTTACCCTCAAACAATGAGAAAGGGCGGTCAGGTTGTCGGCAGCCATGTTTGTCATAGTCAAGACACCATTCTGCAAACTAAAACAGACAGTAGTCAATTGTTAAAAAAGCAGATAGGTTGTCTTCTTTAGTTGTTGTACACATAAAATAATAAGTTTTTAAACTACTGTAGTTTAATATAATTTGGTATAAATATAACAAAAATTCGAAACTAGGCCTTTTTTACAGTTCATAGATAACCATCATTCATCTTGCATAATTTGGTCACTATGGTAACACAAACTTGATCTTTGGCCTTCGCATAAAATACACATTTAACAATACAATACAACAAACACACATATGGGCCAATTAAAAATTATGGGTCTGGATTACAAACCTAGAAACAGTGTAACACACTACATGCGTTTTTTTCTCTATAGCACCCCTATGCACACAATAAACACTCTAATCGCAAGCGTGTATAACGCTTTCAGCATATAACTGTAAGTTTTGTTCTTACAAGATGCATTACAACAATAAGAACTACCGGTCTTGGATACTTATTGCCTGAACAGTCATGTAAGTAATGTATATTTAATTTTATATTATCATTAATGTATAATCTAGACGATGTTAAAGATAAGTACATACGCCCATAAAAGGTAAGTATATACACTCATAGTATAGTATTAAATATGTTATTATATTATATTATATTATAACTTTTGTTATTTTATATTTTGTTATAGTTTTCACCATGTTTAATAAATTCCATGGTAACCAACTGCTTTTGTTGCCCATGTGATTATTATTCTCGCGTTGACACTTACTGGGCCAGGACCTTCCCATCGAACCCAGTACAAATAGGGATGATAGAATTGATGTTTGTATGTGTGTATGAAAGACTACATCAAATTTCCTTTTACCTTCCAAGCCCTGTGTAGATGCTTCTGGTTACCGGTGACTTGGTACAATGCCACAAAGGCATAACCGTTCCCACTGGTTCCATGACAAAGTCCGTAGCCTTTGCGAAGCAAACCTCTAGCCCATATGACATTACCACATGATTCAGCCTGATCTAGGTATTTCTGGTCACCAAACTTCTACAGAATATTTCAAAACTTAATGTTGAATAATATTCAGTTGATAAAATGGAGATTTCGCAAACTTACGAAAACGATAACAAAAACGAATACGTCATTATCATTACCATCATTCATGCCTAAAACATTCTTGACAATATGCTGTATGAACTGAAGGCATAAATCGCTTACGTTGTGACAGATATGATACTGTAGGGGAATATAAATAAATTGATTTATTAATTAAATATTAATTGATGTAACCGCATTCATGAACGTTTTTCGTAAGCTTGCAAAAACTCCATAAAAAAAAGGATTACTTTACCTCAAAACAACGTATCAATCCTTTAATAAATGCATCATTGTCCGGATCATAGGCATAAGGATTAGTCTTGCATAGCATCAGAAAAAATTGCTCACTAATTTATTGTCACATAAATAATATTGGTTCTATACATCATTCTTTATCAGAAATATTTTTGATACTGTATTAATGTTATAGTTGGAAGTCAAGAGCTTATTTACCTTTTAAGTGAGCTATTCAATGTTTAAAGGCAGAAAACACATCTTCAACTTTCATATTAATTGCTATTGCTCCAAGACCAGCCAGTACTTTTGTTATTATTATTGCATGTGTATTATGTATTATTTTTTATTTGAGATATATTTATTCAAAGTTCAAAATTCAATATAAAAAACATACATAGCAGCAACAAGGCTGAAATGCGTACAGATGTACAAAAGTAAAATACTAAAACGGCAGAAAAATGACAACACAAAAAATATAATAAATTACATGCAAAGATGAGATACAAAAAAGAAAAATCAAACATCATAAATGCGAGGACACCGGAAGGAGCATTGGAAAAAAACGGACAAAAAAGGGAAGGGGGGGGGGGGGGGGGGGAAACCAAGGCACCGGAAAGGGAAATTTTGAGTTTAAATTTGATTTATTATATCAGCAAAAAATTGGATTGGACTTGTTTGAAATCGTTTGGTTTTGCTTCTGCAACAATTAACCTTAAGGGGTTTCTAAGTGTCATACAGGATTATCACCTGAAGAACCTCACCGAAATCAGTCTTCGGATTTTTTTTTTTCTCTTTCGTAGGAGTTTAACCCACTTTTATTTCTTTCTCTTTTTGTTACTTTTCTTTTTTTTTCTGCTTCTAATACATATTTAAAAGAAAAGAAGTATACAAAATAAAAACAATTGCACTTAGGAGGGGTCAGTCCACAATGGCTGACTATCTTTCTTTTTTTTTTTAACATCCTTCCACTTGTAATACTTTCTAAATATTTTTTACCAAGATGTAATTAACATTATTAACATCGTACATTAAAAAGAATTTCTTCAAGTTTATATACATATACACTGCACAAATACATAATATTATTTTCCTTTTAAATCCAACCTTTACCTTTCAGGGGAATTTCATTCTCCTTTATTTCTTTCTTTTTTTGTTATTTTTTTTTGTATGGAATACACTCACATACATATACATTTCACACTCATGATATATATATCTATATCCGTATACATCCATGCACACACATACATATGCACACATACACATACGCACACATATACATGCATACATACATATATATACATACATATACACACATATATATATATATATACACATACATATACACCCCCATACATATACACAGGCCATATATCCATACATATACATTCTTTAACACGACGCAATAATTACACTTTTTTGTTTTCTTAATTATTTTATTTTTATATCCTATTTTTTCTTATATATAAAAAAAAATAGAAAGAGGCGTATTATTTTGATAATTATACGGTATTATATGTTACCGTTCTCGATAGAAGAGCATGATGATAATTGTGTAATAATATTAATTATAATAATAATTATTTTTATCCTTTTTTT